ACTAGATCCCCTATAACTAAAGTTATGGCAGTTGTAAGAAATAATGTGGGTGCTGGGAACCAAACCCAAGCCCTCTGCAAGAATAACAGGTGCAGCTGGGCGTGGTGGCGCACACTTTTAATCCCAGCACTTGGGAGACAGAAGCAGGTGGATCTCTGTGAGTTTGAGGCCAGGCTGGTCTACAAAGCGAGTCTAGGACAGCCAGGGCTTGATACACAGAGAAACCCTGTCCTGAAAAACAAAACAACGCCCCCCCCCAACAAGTGCTCTTAACTGCTGGGCCTGGAGCTTTTAATTCTCCACTCTCCACCTGCCTGCTGCTAGGACTATGAGTATGTACCATCACACCCAGATAATAATTTTGTTTTGAGGCGTTAGGGACTTATCACAGGGCTTTGTAAATACTGAGCAAACGCCCTTCCACCCTAGAGACACTTCCAGTAAGTTCTAACAGGGACTATACTTCTGTGTCCCTGGGGTAGACACCAGGTGTGAGTCTCCAAGCTACCTTTAACTAGGGAAGGGTGTGTATACATACTATACAACTACCTGAGCCTTAATGATAATGTCTGCTACCAACAGGGATCACAGAAAGAGAAACTGCAGCACTTATGGCCCCCAGTGAAACAAGGTTCATGCCAGAAATCAGAACCCCTGTTTCAGCCCAGCCCCCACCTTAGCTGAGACAAGCAACTGAATGAGCCCTCTACAGGCCTGCAGTCCTCTGGAAAACAAAGCAGCATGACTATAGACATTGCTAATCAATAGCAACTCCAAGTCTAAGATTCTAGAATCCAGATGTTTTACCCATCCCCAACTTGCAGTTAATAACTTCCTAACAGGCTTAAGTTCGGTTCAGTGTTGACAGTGTTTAACACCAGTGGGGTTTCTGTTTGTTTTGTTTGCTTGTTGTTGTTGTTAATTAAAGTTAATCTGTAAAGGGCTATGGAATGTCTCATCCAGTAAAGGTACTTTGCCACCAAGCCTGGTGACCTGAGCTCTATGCCTCAGGTTATCTGGACCTCCACATACATGGCAGGTAACAACACACACACACACACACACACACACACACACACACACACACAAATAAATGTAACTTTTGTTTGATCATGGAGGGCTAATTATGTGCTGAAGTGCTAAGTTCAACCTCCACAACTCTTGTGGGGAGGAAAAAGAGGAGAAGGAAATGCAAGAGGAAAGCATGGTGATTCCCCAGCACTGGGGAGGCAGAAACAGGCAGATCTCTGGGGCTTACTGCCCAGCCAGCCTGGCTGACTTGGCAAATGGTTCCAGGCCAGTGAAAGGCCTTATCTCAAAAAAAAAAAAAAAAAAAAAAAAAAGTTGATCTGAGATCTGAGAAAGGACACCCAAGGTAGTTGTTGTAGTTCTCTGGCTTCAACATGTACACCAGCACACACAGTCACAATGAACCCATGGAATGTAAGTTTTTAAATTCCTTATTCAGAAACACCGTGTGTGTGTGTGTGTGTGTGTGTGTGTGTGTGTGTGTGTGTGTGTG